CAGCACGCAAGCTCAGGGACACACAGGAGCCCGCAAACCCTTCCACCCAAGAGTCACCACACAGCCCAAGTGAGCATCCTGCAGGCTGGGGCTCCACTCCCCCTCCTGCTACCCACCGGCCGAAGCTGCCCGTGATGGGATACGATGAGACGAAGGAGCCCAGGACGTTGGCGAAGCCTGGAGTGGGGAAGGAGAGAGGCAGCAGCTATGGGAGGCGCTGCCTGGGGCCATGAGACCAGTCTGTGCCCCTGTCGTCACCTCCCCCATCCCCAGACTGGTACCCAGGGCCGGATCGGAGCCCGTCCAGCCATATGAGCCAGGCTCAGGCTGTGGGGCTGGGGGGCACCATGCAAGATGGGAAAGGTAACACGTCAGGAAGAGGCAGGACTGCTGAGAGTGGGAACTCCGGTAGCTCAGGGGCTGCTGGACCCACAGCGGTGCTTGGGATGGATGCTCACCCCCTGCCCCCCTGCTCTGAGCAGCCTCTTACCCATAGCCAGCAGCTCCTGGCTGGGGTCAATCCTGTAACCGTTCTGCGAGGCTGAAAGGAGACAAGAGGCATCGCCTGGAGCTTCCCGCAGGCACAAGGGGCTGGCAGGGCCTGGGAGAGCCATGGGACCCCATCCCAGCCACCCCCCCGGTGCCAGCACCCCCCGAGCAGCCCAGGACAATGCTCATCTGTGCAAACTCCCACCATGCCAAATGCATAGTCCCCCAACCCCCTCCCCAGTCAGGCGTGGGGAGCTCTCTAGCCAGAGGAGGGGGTCAGCAGCATCCCATGGGACCCCTCCTGCCAGCCCACACTAGGAACCGGGCTCAGCAGGGCAGCCCAGTCCCTCCCACTGCCCCCATGGGAATAGCAATGTTCCCAGCACCCCAAGCCCCTGGCAGAGCACCTCCCAGCACAGAGCGCCCGCGCAGGAGCCTGGCACAGCCATACCAAAAGCCTTGGCAATCGCAACAGTCTCCAGCAGACCCATGAGCGGGACCACGGCCAGCCCAACCCCCATGTCCTGCAAGGGAAGGACGCAGTGAGTGTTGCCACCGAGGGACGAGGGTCTCCCCACAGCACAGTCCCCCCCCCCTGCAGCGTGGAGAGCCAGCAAAGGCAGGGGGAGAAGGAGCCAGCAGCCCGCAGGGAGCCCAGCCTCTGCCTGGCACCCACCTCCACCATGTCCCTGAAGGAGAGGGTGCCGTTGGGTGACGCCATGGAGAAGCGCGGCAGACAGAAGGCAGGGAGCCCCCGGGGGATGGTGCCGGTGAGGGTGAGCGGCTGGGAGCCCACTGCCTGGAAGGAGTAAGCAACCAGGCCAGCAAACAGGACTACGAGGGCATTTCGAGCTGCAGCAGAGAGGAACCATGAAAACCTGCCCAGGGTGGCAGGAGGGACCACGGGTGAGTACCTGGGCTGCCGAGGCCTTTGTCCTCCCGACCCACCTCCAGGTCTCAGCTCCTGCCAACCTGGGCTTTACCAGTTCTAGGCTGTCTCCTCCCTGCCCAGGAGAGATGAAATCCCAGGAGGGGAGAGGGCAGGGGGTGGTCAACACACCCGTGGCAGTGGTCCAGACAATCAGGTAGCTGATCCTGGCAGCCAGCGGCTCCGTAGTGGCAGCTCGGGGCAGGCGGCTCTTCATCACCCGGAGCGCTGCCAGCACGGCCAGGCAGGACACCCCCAGCACAGCATCCCCAGCCCTGCAACCAGGTGCATCAGCCTCAGCCCAAACAGGCTGCAGGGCACAGGGAGAAGGTTCCCTGTGACAGGCAGGATCCGTGAGGCAGGATCTGCCTCCCCTTCCCGCTGCTGCCCCGTGCAGCGGCAGGAGGCGTCGGGCTGACGCTGCGTTGCTGTGCTCTGTATCAAACCCAGGCTGCAGCACAGACCCCAGCCATGGGTGCAGCTAACGGGAGCGTGCGGGGGGAATGGGGATGCCTGGAGTCCCTCTTGGACTCCAAAGACCAAAACTTAGAGGACAGACAGACTCAAGGATGTGCCTTTGCGCTGGCAAAACCCTGGCGTACCTCACTGGGAGTGGAAAACAGGGCAAGCTTCCCCCATCCTTCCCCTTTAGCAGCTTGGAAGCCCCCAGGCTCCCTCACCTTCCAATTTCCAGCTCAAATGGAACCGGCTGAGGACAAGCACTTGTGTTACAGCGCTGAGCAGGGACCGGGAAAGGTGTCCGAGGTGTGACCAAAGAGATGGGGAGCGAAGCAGCAGAGCCCCAGACCCCGCAGCTGCAGGGGGACGGAGCAGGGAGGGTGCTGACCTGGTCTCCCCGATCCTGCGCAGTGTCTCGTACACCTGCAGGAAAAACTGGCGAGGGATCCCCTGCAGCCCCAGGATGTTCTGCGCAGGAAGGCAAAGCCCAGTGAAAGCCCGGCACAACCCGAGCTGCCGGGTGCTGTGGAGGGACTGCTGGGTGCTGTGGAGGGACTGCCAGGAGCAGTGGGACCCTGGCACACCACGGTGTGGGTGCTGCTGGTGGAAAAG